AGAAAAGGCGAAACTCCTGTTGACGCCAAACAGGGCACTCTCCTCCTCAAGGACTATCCTCCCGCTTATAACATGGCGAAGGCAATTTGTCAAGCATGCCCGGAAAGAATGACTAGTCATATCAGCCAGTATTTCAACAATGTTATCATCGACGCTTCGGCTCCCGCGCCTGGCGCAAACGGATCTTCGAAGAGCGCCCATCGAAGGCCAAACTTGGACGACTCGGACGAGGAAGGAGAAGATATCAAGGAGCTGAGCAAAGCACATCGTCTGATCCGTGAATTGTGGAAAGCTTGCCCGGAGGTCTTGCAGAATGTGATTCCCCAACTGGAGGCCGAATTATCGGCGGAGTCTCTAGCCTTGCGTCTGCTGGCCACACAGACAATCGGCGATTTGACGGCTGGAATCGGGGTTGCTGGACCACCCCCGCCGCCGCCAATGGATCCTGCGGCCTACCCACCTGTAACCCTGGCTGAGTATGCTCAGACCGTGCCTCAGCCCAGCGTTCTTCTGACGCCGTTCTCTCCGAAGCCATTCTCGCAAACGCACAGCTCCACCTATGAAAGCTTTATCAGCCGCCGGCTGGATAAGTCGGCTTCGGTCCGCGCTGCTTGGGTGACTGTAGTGGGACGAATTCTGCTCACGTCCGCCGGTGGCTCGGGGCTGAGTGAGAACGAGGAGCAGAGTCTCATCAAGCATGTTGCGTCCATGCTTCGCGATGCTGACGACAAAGTGCGTGTAGCTGCCGTGGACGCGATTGCCAGCTTTGATTTGCCATATGTGGTGAACAAGCTTGGTGTCAGCGGGGGCTTTTCGACTCCAGATTCGCTTCTTTTCGTTCTTGCCGAGCGAGTTAAAGATCGCAAACCGCAGGTGCGCGAGCATGCAATGAAGACCCTCGCCCGGATCTGGGCGGTCGCTGCGGGCGAAATTGAGCGGGACGACGAGGTTGTCGCCCCTCTGCTCAAGGATGGACCATCAAAGATCTTCGATGCTTTCTATACCAATGACCAGGATATTCATGTCATGATTGACCGTGTTCTATTTGAGATCCTGCTGCCGCTCAACTACCCCCCCGTCAAGGCGAAGTTGACCCGCAGCAGCTCCACGCAGTCACAGAAGCAGAAGGGATCGCAGGCACAGGAGGGTGATGCTGAGGTTGATGTGGATAAGGTCCGCACCCGTCGTATCCTGACCCTTTTGAGGGGTATGGATGACAAGGCAAAGAAGGTCTTCTTCGCCATGCAGGCCCGTCAAATCTCGATGAGAACTGCGATGACCATCTATTTGCAGGCCTGCGAAGACTACAACGTGAGTGAAGCCTGCTATCCCAGGTTCTGTGATCGTCCGCTAACATCTCTATACAGGGCGGAGTGATGGAAAAAGATCAAGACCGTATTCAAGCTCAATTGAGCAAAGTTATCGATACATTATCCAAAACGTTCCCCGATCCCTCCAGAACGTCTGCAGATCTGTGGAAGTTTGCCAAAGTGCATGACCGACGTGGCTACCAACTTATTCGCTTCGCTATGGCTGCCGTCAGCGATTATCGAACGGTTATCAAGGCTATTAAAGAACTTGCAAGGAGGGTACAGAGTGGCAACAATACCCCACTGCTTGAAACTCTTACACCTTTGCTGTATCGAAGCAGTTCCCTCGTGTTCAACCGGAGTCACATCCCTGCTGTCATGAGTCTTTCGAGGACCGACGAGAACGGACTGGCAAACCCTGCTCACGAGATGTTACGAGAAATCTCCTCTCGCAATCCCGAGGTTCTGGAGGCACAAATTCAAGAGATGTGCAAGGACCTTGAATCACAAGCGCCGAGCGCCACCACGAAGGATAGCGCGGGGACGGAGGAGATTCTCAAAGCGTGCTCCGGGTTTGCAAAGAAATTGCCTTCCAAGCTTCCTAAGGAGCGTAAGTTCTTCCAGGCCTTGGTCAACTATGCGCTCCACAGCCCATCACCGAGGGCTGCTAAACATGCTGTTTCAATTCTGATGGCTGTCGCCGACAAGAAGGAGATGTACGCTAAGGACCTGATTCACAAGTGTGTCTCCGGTTGGAGCTACGGGTCCGCTCGATTCCTGACCAAGCTCGCCACCTTATCCCAGCTCAACTTGTTGGCATCAAAGGAGGCGGATGATGAGCGCGACGCAATCATCTCCATTTCAGTCAACCAGATTTTGCTTTCCAATCGGTCACCGGAACCGAATGCCGGATATTCGTGGTCGGATTCCGTGGACGACGAGACTGCGGCCAAAGAATGGGCTCTCAAGATCATTGTCAATCGTCTCCGAGCTAAGGATGCTTCCGATGATGCTGATGACTTCCGTGCTCATGCGGAACCCGTTTATGACACCTTGAACAAGCTTGTGATGAATGATGGAGAGCTCTCGAAGAAGAAAGACACACCCGCAACTCAAAAGCCTAGACTGCGTCTTCTCGCAGCAAGGTCACTGTTGAAGTTGTGTGCGACCCACGGGCTATGCGACCAATTGCTTACGCCGAAGGACTTCAACTCGATTGCCCTTGTCGCACAAGACCCTGTCCTCGAAGTTCGGAGTGGCTTCATCAGTCAGCTCAAGAAGAAGCTCGTGCAACAAACGCACTTGACCTATCGTTGGTACACGGTTCCCTTCTTGCTTGCCTTTGAGCCACATGCTAGCCTCAAGGAGAGCACCCTTACCTGGCTACGCTCTCGAGCGGCATACTTCTCCCAGCAAATGAACGGCAAGCGAAGCGACCAGCAAACAGTCATGGAGTCTATGTTCTCGCGTCTTCTCTCCCTTCTTGCTTACCATCCCGATTACCCGCCTGCGGATATGGACGACTCCACCCGAATTGAGGAATTGACCGACTTCGCACGCTACATCCTGTTCTACCTCCAGGCTGTGGCGAACGAGCACAATCTGTCGCTAATTTTCCACATCGCGCAGCGTGTCAAGCAAACACGCGACGGCATCACCAAGTCTGATGAGATGAGTACGCGTCTTCACACACTTTCGGACCTCGCTCAGGCGACCATCCGTCGGTTTGCCGACATCTACGCTCAACAGCGCCGATTCGGTGGTGCAAACGGCGGCGCCAGTATTCTGCAGACCTACCCGGGCAAGATGGGCGTGCCGAGCTCCATCTTCGCTCCGATGGGCAGCCATCGCGAAGCGCAGGAGGTGGCAGACAAGAACTTCTTCCCGGAAGATGGCGAAGAGCTGCTGGACCGCGTCGTACGGTCCGTCATGAAGACGAAGAGTGGGTCTCAGGGCGCTGCGAAGAAGAGAAAGACCGACTCGAACGAGACCGGTGGCGATACCGGCTCCGCCAAGAAGGCGAAGAAAGAGAGCAAAGAGAAGCCGGCTCGGCCTGCTCGGAAGTCGTCGGGCTCAGCTGGGACGTCCAAGGCGCCGAAGCGGAAGAAGAAGGACGAGGATGGATGGACTTCGGATGGAGGTGCGGGTGGCGGAGCAAGTTCCGCTGCTGCCGCTGCTGCTTCTCGTAGACGTAGCAGCAGAGGAGCCTCCAGGAGGATCAGCTACGCTGATCGAGACAGCGACGAGGACGACCTGGAGATGGACGACTGGGATCAACAAGAAGAACAAGAAGAGGAAGAAGAAGAGCTGGAGGAGGAGGATGAGCAGGAAGTGGAGTCTGAGAACGACGAGCCATCAGATGTGGCAGATGTCGACGACGACGACAACAACGACGTCGCCAAGGAAACCCTGAACCCCAAAGAATCGGAAAAGGCAGCCAACCCAAGACTAGACAAGGACCTTGACGAGATCTCCGACTCGGATCTCAGCTCTCCATTGTCATCGCCGCCCCCGATCTCGCCTCCGAAGAAAGCCATCGGCGGCCGAGCCGCGACACGTGGCAAAGGCAGCACCAGTCTCGCAACACGGCGGTCGTCTCGGAGATGACGATGGTCTTATGATAGCGATGATGATGAGGACACACCCAAGTCTTAGTAGCTACAAGCTCAACAACCAAGCTATTTGCCTACCAGGGCAGGGGTTCTAAAAGGAGGGGCAGAGCAGGATGGCGATTGAGACCATATCCACCACGGACGATGCCGTCGAAGCCAAAATCCCCCGAATCTATGTTTTATCTATCTGTCTCTTATTTGATCTATTTATCCATCCATCTCGGTGTGTCTCTGGTGGGCGTGAGTGAGTGAGTGGTTGACTGCTCCACGAATCTCTATGTATAGTGAGAAGCGTTGTTTATCTTTCCATATCATACCAATTTCCTTCATCTTATCTTGCCGACCTGAGTTATTTCGAATGTTCGTCTCGTGTCGCTAGCAAATATTGTATTCTTTGTATCAGGATATGCAGGGGTTAGGTGTCATTCTTCGTCTCTATCCATCTACGTATCTATTCATCTATTCTTATTGCAGGTATTATGCTATCAATTTCCAAGAGGGCTTCGCGTAAGCTGATTCATGGGTGCATGTATCCTACAGTACTCCTGCTGTTCCTGGGTGTAGCAGACGTCCATGCTCGTCAGTAACTAGTCCTATACTCTATTTCTCCTCAATCGCAATCTAGGTTCTATTTGTGTGTAGATCTGAATCATTTCAACAGTCTACTTCAGCAGGTAGGCAGTGGACTAAGCTTGACTAGCTGTGGGCTATGGGCTGTGGGCTGTGCATTATGCGTTGCAAGTCGCCAGATAAGGCCAGTAGCTCATCCTCCATCCTCCATCCTCTCACTTACTCGCCCACCATCCTCATTCAACAAACCCAAACATCCAGAACAGCCCTCCCCTCCCCTCCCCTTCCCTTCCCACAGACCCATCACCCCCGCGAATAGACCTAATGTTACAGTTGCAGAAAACTCTTCAATTTCAGCCAGCTAATCTATAAGCCGAGAAACACGGTGGGCGTATACATCACATGCGTATGTACATGTACATGTAGTACAGTATCACGCACCCTTCGGGTAACTTAACAGCAACAGCAACAGCAACAGCAACAGCAACAGCAACAGCA